AAGACTCCCTATCAACTTCTGTTCGATAGAAGGCCAAACATCAAGTTCTTTCATGTGTTTGGTTGTAGATGCTTCGTTCTCAATGACAGAGAGTCTCTGGGAAAATTTGAGCCCAAAGGAGATGACGCTATTTTCATTGGCTATGCGTGGGATACCGCATCATATAGAGCCTACATTCCCAGGACTCGAATCGTGGTTGTCAACACAAATGTAAGATTTGATGATTCTTTTCATGTGACGAAGGAAAAGTTCACAGAAGAATTGAAAATCCAGGCCAACAAATCTCCAAACGCTACAATCACACCAGAACTCGAGCAGCTGTTTACAGAGTGATACGAAGATAATGCAGAACCTGAAAAACCCTCTGTAGCAGTTGCCAATCCAGATCAAGCAGAAAGCCCTTCCACAACACCTCTCATAGAGGACGCTCCCTTATTGTCAACCTCTGTGTCCCCTTCCCAAGATGATTCACACCCAGAAGCTGCACCTACAATCGAAAGTCCTCCAATATCATCTTCTGATGACGTTCTTCAAGAAGAAGCTTCTCTAAATAAAAGTCCTACGGATCCATCCTCCATTGAAGCTCAAGAGCCTGAACAAGACTCTGCATCTCAACATCCTTTTCAAATTGCACAAGAATTGGTGCCCTCTGTTCAACCACATCACGTCTCTAAATGGACCCAAAGTCATCCACCATCTCAAATCATAGGAGAACCTTCTACAGGCGTCAAGACACGAGCCACGGCAAAATTTTGCTTATTTACCTATTATGTAAGTGAGATTGAGCCCAAGACGGTTGCAGAGGCTCTGGCAGATACCTTCTGGGTTGATGCTATGCAAGACGAGTTAGTTCAGTTCGAGAGAAATCAAGTTTGGACACTTGTACCTCTGCCAGCCGAGAAGCTTGCTATTGGCACGAAGTGAGTTTTTCGAAACAAGAAGGATGAGCAAGGGGTAGTGGTGAGAAACAAGGCAACACTAGTTGCGAAGGGCTATTGCCAAGAAGAAGGAATTGACTACGAAGAGACATTTGCCCCTGTAGCCAGACTGGAAGCTATCCGTATCATCCTCGCGTTTGCCGCTCATAGAGGGTTCAAAGTTTTTCAAATGGACGTCAAGTCAGCCTTTCTGAATGGCAAGCTCAAAGAAGAAGTTTATTTCAAGCAACCCCCAGGGTTTGAAAGTGAGAAGTTTCCTAACCATGTCTATTTCCTAGACGAAGTTCTGTATGGCCTCAAGCAGGCTCCCAGAGCATGGTATGATCGACTATCACTCTTTCTCACTTCAAATGGGTTTCACAGAGGTACAACTGATATCACTTTATTTTATAGAAAAATGAATGATGATATTTT